CATGAGGCTCTGCCCAAGTGTGTGGTGAGTGTGTGGGAGGAGGCTCTGTTTCACTGGGGTGCCCCGAGTGAAACAACCTGGCGTGGGGTCCAGTGGCATGGCTATGGCAGGCTTCATGTTGCTCCCTTCTGGAAGAGAAAGCCCTGTGATCTCAATGGTGGCCAATGACGAGATTATTTGGCACTGGCAAGAGATAGCTTATGGGCGTGACCTCTGGGTTGCAGGAAATAGGGGAAACGGGCAGAGGATCTCTGTTACCAGTTCCGTTGAATGCAGTGTCCTGAGTCACAGTTCCGCATACTTGGGTTTTGTCAAATTTCACTCGTGCATGAGTCTTAGCCTGAGTGTGTGGGGAGCGGCCTTGAGCATGGTCCCCTCCCTTCTTCCCCTTCCCAAAAGCCTCCAAATAAAATTTGACTTATTTCCCTGCTTGTCTGCTCCTGAAATTCTTTCCTGTGAGATAGGACAAGTACCTGGAAGCCCTGGGTCAGGCCTAGGACTGACTCTCCTATTTTTCAAAGAGCAGATCTTCACTCCAGTCTGAGTCGGCGGCTCCCTGAGAAATCAGATAGTGGAGATCAACTCCTGTGCTGAGAAGACCAAACGGACATCAGTTGTGGCCTGAGAGCTATCTTGTGGAGCTGGTGGGACTTGGATCCACGCCATACAGGGGCTCATCCTAGCTGGTCGCGGGACAACAGAGTTGGATCAGGAGAAAGTGACTGTCTCTCCTCTCCACGTCACATAAGCCACCTCTGGGGGCCACCAACTTCACAATCCCTAGCACCAATATATGGTCCCCCCAAGACAGCCAGGAGTGATTCCTGAGTGCAGCGCCAAGAGAAAGAAAACCCTAAGAACACCTGTCTATGCTCCCCCCAAACTCCCCCGAAAGACTAGAAGTAAAAATAGATCAATAAAACTTGAAATTATCTTTTCTCCAATCCTATTGTCAGGACATTTATTTTATCCTCAGTTTCACGGAAACATTTTGTCTCACCATGGACGACATTATTGGGACACTGAACAAATCATCCTTTACCTCCTATGGTTTCAGAAGCTGGAAGGATAACCAAGTATCAGAGGGATTGATGAGGAAAAGTAAGGAGATATTGATTAATAACATGTTTATTAACATATGTTGTTAATATATTAATAACATAGGTGGGAGAGACACAGCAAAATTGCCATCCTTATTTTATTTCTTTCTAACTTTGTGACTGTGCCTGGCCATGCTCAGGGCTTACTCATCTTCATGCTCAGGGATTGCTCCTGGTCCAATTAAGAGGACCATGTGCAGTGCAAGAGATCAAGCCCTGTTTGGCTGGCAAGTGCCTTACCTGATGGACTATTTCCAGGCCCCTAGATACCATAAAATTTTCTTTTAATTTTTAATTTTTAATTTATTTATTTTTTTGCTTTTTTTGGCCTCACCCACCGATGCTCAGGGATTACTCCTGGTTCTGCACTGAGTAATTACTCCTACTGGTACTTGGGGGACCATATGGGATGCTGGGGATCGAACTTGGGTTGGCTGTGTGCAAGGCAAACACCCTATTTGCTGTACTATCTCTCCGGCCCCCAAGATACCCTTTTTAAACAGCTTCGAAAACATAGAGGTTAATGGGTAGAAGAGAAATGTGTGTGGGAGGCTACCAAATAAAGTTCTGTAAAAGAGATGAAGACTTACATTCAGAGTGAAGGGCTTTAGGTCCTTCCTGGGAGATGCCTTTATGGGGAAGGTTTAAATGAAAATATCTTTTCAAAGACAACATTCTGCCTTCCTAAAATTTCCTCCTTCTAATTTCCTCCTTCATGAAATTAGCCTCTAGTTAAGAATTTGTTTGTTAGCCTCAGTCTCCATGATGAAATACAACAATTTATTGGTCCATGGTTACAAGCCTGTCTCGTGCTGGGGGAATAGGCAGTTGGGATAGAAAAGATAGCGAAGGACCAAGAGGACAATGGCAGTTGGAAATAATCACTCTGGATAAGAATTGTGTGCTGAAAGTAGGTAAAGGAACAAACATGATGACCTCTCTGTACCCATATTGCAAACCATAATGCCAGAGAGAGAGAGAGAGAGAGAGAGAGAGAGAGAGAGAGAGAGAGAGAGAGAGAGAGAGAGAACGAAGAAAAGTGCCTGCCATAGAGGCAGGCTCGTGGGGTAGAGGGAGGGAAACTGGGGACATTGATGGTGGGAAATGTGGAAACTGGGGACGTTGGTGGTGAGGGGATGGGTGTTAGAACATTGTATAACTGAAGCCCAATCATGAACAGCTTTGTAATGTTGCATCTCATGGTGATTCAAAATAAAAGGAATTGAATTAAAATTTTAAAAAAGAACTAACTTGGTTTATTCCTCCTTCTCCCCCCACTGCACTATACCTTGCCTCTTCTTGTCTCACCTCTATGTTATAATTTGTGTTATGGAGAAGACATTGTTTTAAGAATCTAACTTTTGAATGCCAGTTCCCTCTCTGGCTAAATAGGAAACCTGGACAAATGGCTTAAATGCCCAAAACTTGGTCTTTTATAAAATGGGAAGAAGAATGGCTCTTGGCAGGATCACATGAGGCATATCCTTTGCTTTTTTATTTTTGTACATTTTATTTTCATAAAGTAGTCCACAATAGTTCATTACAATAGTTCATTACCAGTGAGCAACTTACCACAACAATAAGAGGGAAGTGTGTGAAGGTTGTTGTATTTCATTCTGGAGCCATTTAAGCCCCTGTATAAGAGAATACAAGCAAGTATATTAAAACCAAACAAATGTGTGCTATTTTGGGCTAGAGTATAAGAGGTTGTATGGCCGCAAATGTGGCCGCATGCTCCAGAAAATACTGCATCACTCTCTTCTGGGAGCTTTATTGTATAGTCTCTGGATCTTGGCTGTTGATGAGATTACATGACTCTGAGGGCAGTTTGTGGGTGTGGCTGCCAAGCTACTGAAAAATTGGGGAGTTGGGTGGAGGAGGCCCAGTTCTGATCCAAGAGGACTTGGAGATCTCAGCCACGGGTCCTGCATACCTGGGTACCTCTGCTGGTTCGTTCATGGATGAGACTTGTCAGAGCGTGTGGAGAGCGGCCTTGAACATGGCTGTGGTTGGGTTCTGGAGGTTTTCAACTGCTGGGGTTCTGCTTGGGGCAGGGAGGGAAACTCAACCCACTCCCTTCCAATGTGCCCCAGTGAAGACAGCCTGGGGCGTGATCAGCAGATTCTGGATCTTTGATTTTCTTTCACCTTTCCAATCTTGAAATATATTTTTTTCTTTGTATTTTTGTTTTGTATTGTCTTAGGACCACACATAGCTGTGCTCAGGGATTCCTGACTCCGTGCTCAGGGATGACTCCTGGAGGATTCAAGTCATCATCCAGGTGCCCAACATCTAACCTGGGTCAGTCACATGCAATACTTACCCACTGTATCATCTCTCCAGACTCTGAAATTCATTGTTAATAAATGATGCTATTGATTGAGTTCATTGAACCCGGCCTCCAGGAAGACTGAAGATTCTAGAAAACATGTTGAGAAATTCCTGGTCAAGAGCAGCAGTAAGAACAACTTTGAGTATGGTGCTTTTGAGGCTCAAGAGCTCTTTTCCCTTTCTGTATGGAGCTCAGTGAAGAGGGAGATGAAGGCAGAGGATAAAAAGTTATAGAAAATACTAATATCAAGGGAGTGACTAATTCAAGGAGCGGGAAAACATAACTTTAAAAAATGTATGATATCATGAAAGAGATCAATAAAATCCGTAGCCCTAACATAGTCTATTTTTATTAAAGATAAAAATTCATAACCCAAACCGTCCATTGTTATTTTCTGTAACCTATCCAGAATCTTAGGAATATTGTTTTAAGTGGTCGTGATGTCAGTCTGCACTTTTAATCCCAACTCGCTTGTTTTTGATTACACATTAGCCATCTGCACAAATAACCAATTATAGCTTGAGTCTTGGCTGGTCTTATGACTTTGGTCATGGAAACCTAGAATAAGTCGATGTAACACATGTCTTCTCAACATGAGTAATGTGGAATAAGCCCCCCAGAAGCCCCAGTAACAGCCCACACCCGCTCTAAACATAGAAGATACAAACCTATCACCCACTAAATTGCCTCATTCCTTTGGACTGGATCTCAGGAGCAGAGGTTGGAGTTGAGCTATAGCGAGGCCGTCGCGGGGCACGCGTCGCCTTGGGGCCAGCAGGGGGCGCCTGCGATCCGGGGCGCCGGCCGAGTAGTGAGGGGGGCGTGGCTCTGCATCCTTGACGGACAGCTAAGGATGCGGGATGCTGGGGAGAATCGGGGGGAGCAAGAGAAGAGAATACGAGCCGGAGCCGGGAGAATGTCTGAGGTGTCGGCTGGGGAGTGCACGAGTGTGGGAACGAGCCGGGGACACCTACGAGTGTCAGAGCTCGCGCTGTGGACACCGATCACAATGCATTAAAAAAAGAAAAAAAAAAAAGAGAGAGAGAGTGTGTGTGGTGGGGGGGTGCGGGGGGTTATTCCATTTCTGGGAGCCTAGTTGCAAAGTCGCGGCGGGGCAGACGTCTGCTCCGTGGCGGGGGGCCCTGCCCCGGTGCCGTGGAGGGTCGCTTTTCTGCATCCGAGCCTCTGCGGTGGGGTGGGATGGGCTGGGGGAAAGCCCCCGGGTGGGTGAGCGCGGCTGCGCGTCGGCGCGGGGCGGGAGAGCTATACTGGGGACGGAGGGCGGGGGAGGGGGGAGAGAGCCGTCGCCCCTCGCCGTGACAGCCCTGCGCGCGGGGAGGGAGGGCGGGCAGGCGGGCGGGCGGGGGCGAGAGGGGCGGGGAGCCCCGCGTGTCTTCCCCGAGCGCGCTGGTGCGGCGCGATCCCTCCCCGGCGTCTGCAGAGCCCGAGGCGCAACTGGTGCGAGGGCTGCCGGGCGCGGTGCGTGCTGCTCGCGGCCACCGGGTGGCTGGGCCGGGCGCGGGGTGGGGTGGGGTGGGGTGGGGGGCTTTCGCCTAGATCTGGACCTTTGCATGAAGCCGCGCGACCCCACGGAGCGGCGGCAGCAGCAACAGCAACAGCAGCAGCGGCGGCGGCGGCAGCAGCGGGAGCGGCGGAGCCCCGAGGCGGCGGCGCTGCGCGGTCCCAGCCAGGCGGTCCCCGGGCCCCGGTGGATGCGCGGCCGGGGAGGGGCCCATGGGCCGGAGCTGAGGCTGCCCGGGGCGGCGGCGGCGGCGGCGGCGGCGGCGGCGGCGGGGCGCGGGCCGGGGGGCGCGGTCGAGGCCCGGCGGCGGCGGCGCAGGAGGAAGCGGAGGAGGGCGGGCGCGCCGGGCCCGGGAGGCGACCAGCACCGCGCCACCGCCAGCGCCACCGCCACCGCCGCCGCGGCCCCGGGCTCGCCATGCTCCTGGCCTCGGCCGTGGTGGTCTGGGAATGGCTGAACGAGCACGGCCGCTGGCGCCCCTACAGCCCGGCCGTGAGCCACCACATCGAGGCGGTGGTCCGCGCCGGCCCCCGCGCGGGGGGCAGCGTGGTGCTGGGCCAGGTGGACAGCCGGCTGGCGCCCTACATCATCGACCTGCAGTCCATGAACCAGTTCCGCCAGGACACCGGTGAGCCCGCACCCCCCCCTCTCCCCAAAACCCCCCCATCCTCCCATCAGACCCCCCCCCCCCCGCACCTGCCCCGCTGGGCCCGCGCCCACCCATCTCCCCGCCCAGCCCGGAGCCACCTGCTCCGCCCCCGCCCCCCCCACCTCCACATCCCACCCGACACCCACCACGCCGCGCAGGGGTGTCGCCGCGAGATGGTCGCGGAAGGGGGCGCTTGAGTCCTCGTCTCGGCTGCCCGGACCCCCTCGCCACCCATGCCGCTGCGAGTGAGCTCTCGGGGCCGGGGGGCTGCCCCCCGAGCTGCACACGAGCCCCCGAGAACAATCCCCTCCACGCCCCTTTGGAGCACTTGCTGGCCCGGAGTCCTCCCGTGGGGAAACGGTTGCGTTGTCCCAGCCCGTTGCCAATCCCGGCTCTCGGGCATGCTTCCTGCTCGCACCCCCCCAATTCGGTGGAGGCTGAACACCCCTGCCTGGCCTGATGCCCCCCGCCCCCAGACCTGCACCACTAGCCTCCCGCACCCCATCTCATTTCCCCCCCCCCCCCCCCCCCCACACACACACCCGGTCTCATTTCTTCCCGCCCAGGGTCCGCTTGTGGCAAGTGGGGAAGGAAGAAGGAATTTCGGGGCGTCTGTGGCCCTGGCCTTCCCGGGGACGGAGGCTGGCACCCGGGCATTCCAGGGGACGCAGCCCCCCTCCGGGATGCCGATGCATGGCCCTGGTGCTGAAGCAACAGGCCGGAGCAGATGGGGAGAGGAGGGGGCGGACCGGGGCTGGGGAATGCCCCGCGGGGAAACCTCTTCCTTTGTCCCCAGAGGAGGCGGAGGCGGAGTGCCGAGGAGAAACTGTCCCCGAGCCTCCTGCTGAAATCCAAGCGGCACTCTGGTATCCCAGAGCCCTTATGATAAGGGTCCCCCCCACTCCGCACCTCCCCAACCAGAAATCGGCTTGGCATGGTGGCGACGCTCCACTCCCCCAGTGACCCCACGTGTCCCCCCCTCTCCCCAACCCGCCCCTGATCGGACTTTGCAGGTCGGCTTAGGAAGGGAGCTGCAGGAGGAGGTCAGGAGGGTGGGCCTGGTGGGGGAGGACAGCGCAGCCTGCCTGCTGGGTCTCCCGGGTGACCGTGCTTAATTGACCACCGGGGCCAAGCCTGTATTCCGGGGTTGGGGATTCTGGAATGCGGCAGGACTTTTCCTGGAGTGGAATGGGGCTGGGTTGCAGAGCAGGTGTGGCTGGCCGCGTGTGGGGGCCGTGGGGGACTGGACAGGCTGGCCTGGGCTCAGGGGGTCAGAGAGCAGCTGTTGAGTGGGACATCTGAGCAGGCCCGCCAAGCACCCACATCCGGTGTGCTAATTAGGATGGTCATGGGAAAGGGGGCTCTCTCTCTCTCCACCCTCAAGTTCCCGTCTTTCATCAGAACTCTGCTTCTTGGCCAAGGACTTTGCAGGCTCTGGTCCCTGGAGCCAAGCTTTTTTGGTGGCAGGAGAAAGGGTTCCAGATGCTTGTTTGCATCTGGAGGGGCTTAAGGCCCCTGTGGGAAAGGAAAGAGCGGGAGGGGAGGGGTGTGTGTGTAGCTGGGAGCCACTGGGTGAAGTTGGGATGCAGGAGGCATGAGGGGAGATTGAGAAAAGATTCAAGTGTAGCTGAGGGGGGAGGGCAACAGAATTGTGCAATCCGGATCCAGACAGTGATGGAGGGGAGGTTTTAGATTCTGGGGGGTGGGGCTTGAGTGCTCTAGGGCTGGGGAGGGGGGGGGGGGCGGTGCAGGAAGCACATAGAATCCAGAAAGGGTGATACCTGACTGGGAAATCCAGTTCTGCTGAAAACAGACCAGCAGGTGTTTTGTTTTGTTTTTTTCCCCAATTCCTGACTCTATCTCTTCGAACCTCGCTCGAAAGAAGCCTGGTGAGACAAAGACCCAGGTCCTTCTGAAGGGTGGACATTTCAGGGGTGGGGGGTGTTTGGGATCTCGGGCACCCACAAGGGACCAGGAAGGGCCTCCTGGGCTCTGTCTACAGTGGTCACTGGAACTGGGCTGAATGGAAGAGAGAAAGGACGCCTTCCCATCTCTCTAACCTGCGGATGGCAATAGCCCAGTTTACAGAGAGAGGCTTGGCAGAGTTTAGGTTTCAGGGGCTCCTTGAAGGGTCAGCGGGTCAACATGTGCTGAGCACCCTTGCCACACTGTGTGTCCTCCCCCCCCCCCCCCCACCATCACCCCTGTGCCAGTTCCTCCACCGGGTGTCCAAGGTGCTGGGCCGAATTCCCAAGAATGCTGGCTCTGTCGGGAACTTGTCATCTTGGAATAGAATCTCTGGGTCTGACCCCCCCCCCCCCACTCCTCCTCCTCTCCCTCCCCCATCCCGGCAGACACGGTTCCTTTCACTATAGCTCTTTGATGAGGCTGTGACAGGGCTGGTCAGAACTTTAAATCACCAGCTCCCAGGCAACCCCGGCCAAGCCCTGGCAATGTTTCATGAAATGCCCCCCACGCCCCTCCCTCCCCCCCATACCAGACACAGTCTGAAGCTGGGAACCAGCAACACCCCATAAACAAAGGGGAACTGGAAGTTCCCTGCCCAGAGGCGATTCCTCTCTTGTTTTGTGGCCTCCTCCGTGGGGGGACATTTCCTGATGTGGGAGCTTTGTTTTGCTTTTTAGAAGTTGTCTGTCCTGCTGCTGCCACCGCTTCTGCCAAGTGCCTCCTGACTCTGTTCTCCCCCCCACCACCCCCCTGGCTCTTGACCTCATCCAGCCTGTCTCCAGGGAGATGGCGAGGAGGCTGTGGCACCCCCTGGCCCCTTCGCTTCCAGACAGCCTGGGAATGGGCGCCTCATTTAGAGGCATTTGGGGCTAAAGAATCCGGGAAAGGGTGAGAGTGGAGGCCAGATTCCAAAGAAAAAAAAATCACATTGGCTTCCCCAAGCCTTGCTCCGGTCGTCTCCATCCAGGGTTACTTCCCCTGACTCCTAGCCTGGCAGTGATTGAACTCATCCTCAGCTCTGTAGTTTGAAGAGAGGAAGCTGATGGCTGCCATTTTCAGGGCCCCAGCAAGGGGATGTTGGGGGGGCAGATGGAGGCTTGGAGTGGGGGTGTTGACTTAACTGCCCATCCTGGACTTACTGGGTTCCTACAGGGCCTGGAGCCAGTTCCTTACCTGTTCTGGGCTCCCCTTTTTGGTAGGAGGACCAGCATCCTTCTGTCCCTTTCCATCCAGAGGCTTGGCCCCTGCACCTGCCCTGGTGGCGAAGTGACTCCGTGTGAGGCAGGATCCTTTTCGGCTCAGCTTCTCTGTTTGACTTTTGCTTCTTTTGTGTTTTTCATGTGGCGAGGAGGGTCCGATGGAGGGAGATGAAAGGGCTGGGGGGAAAAAAGCTGATACATTGGTGCCACCCCAG